ATATGTGTGTGTGTGTATGCATGTATGTATGTATATATTTGAATATATGTATATTTGTATATTGATATGTTTGTGATCGTGTACGTACGTATGAGAAAGAAATGGAGTATAATTTCATCCATCTTGTATTGTTTATAATTCAATAATAGTATAGTTCTCAGTACGTCGATATCACTATTTGAAAGGCTATTCAAACATCTATATAGTATGTACAGACGTATATTCAGAAATTGGATTCTTTGTGTCTGGTTGCTTGTAACTTTCAAAGCCTCTCGTAGGTGAAGATTTCAAAAGCATTACATTTTTTAAGCCCCATCTGCAGATGGATTTTTGTTCACAGACCGTATTGAACTTGCCTTTGCCCACGTCTCCTTTGGATAGTTAATAAGGTATCAACATACATTCTTTTGTACAGTTTAGCTTACATCTTGTATATTAGCGCTATCTGACAATGTCTCTTACTTGTGTTACAGATACTACAATTATTGCTTATTCCATGATGTTCAATCAAATTTCATCTTACAAACTGGGGATCCATCGGGCACTGGCAAAGGGGGACAATCCCTATTCGGGTAAGTGCTGGTCAAATGTAGTGACAATAGGAATGTACATTGAATTACTCTCGTATTCCTGATTGAGTTTGCTTACATTTAATACACTAATAGATAATTTATATGTACCTGCTAATCTGTGCAATTCTCTGCTGTATGATCTATATCGGGAGTATGCCTAAATCTATCGTTCATAGTATAATAGCATAGTGCCAGTGACACGAGCAGTCATTTAATGAACCGCTCGTTTCTCTGTCACCTTCATACGTATTTTTATTCCAGTTCGTGTATCATTGTGAGACTCCCAAGAAGTGTGCATTTGTACTCTTACTTTCTGTGTGCGCGTTGCGAATATGTGTGTGGGGCTCTGTGTGTATGTGCCCATATGATGATGTATATTGTGATCGTTTCCAGCTAATACGTATTCTTGACAAGACTTTATGTGCTGCTACGAAGATCTTATCGCAACATCGTGTTTGACGTTTTTATATTTATGCCAGGCTAATGGGCGGTCAAGAATATTTCGAGGATGAAATCAAATCAAATCTTAGATTTACACGATCAGGTTTGTTGGCGATGGCGAACACAGGCAAGGATACCAATGCCTCACAGGTATTGATTTATTCTCACGGACTTGAGTTATCTAGCCATAAATTTGGTATACTATTGAGAGTATATCGATTTTCCAGTTTTGGTTTATATTTGTCGCTTCGCAGAGCCTGGTGCGTTTCGGTACAAAGGACCAAGTTCTGATGTTATAAATCCGGTCGTTCTGTGCAAATTCAGTTCTTCTTCACTGCCGGCGATCGCCTGGACTCGATTGATGGAAAATACACCATATTCGGCGAAGTCGTAGACGATGATGATGAAAGCATGAAAACGCTTTGGGCCATTAACGAAGCTTATGTGGACAGCGAGGGAAGACCTTATCAAGATATCCGGTGTGTATGTTCATTCTACTTTGACCTGCGCAGAGCTAGATCTTGAAAGTCAATTGAGTGTGGATCTATTTTACCGCCGAAAGTGATTTGAAAGAATGTATTGGGAAGCGCACAATGATGCAACACCAATTCGATTTCAAGCGCAAAAGTTGTTTCGCATTCACTGTCCTCTCGTCTCGCGTACATTTCTTAGAATCCGACACACAATTGTTCTAGACGATCCGTTCGATGATCCCCGCGAACTGAGAGTACCATCTCGGTCACCATCTCCTACACCCGAGCAGATGCAGGTATGTTCATCAATGAATTGCAAATATTCACGTTCGCTGCGTTATAAGTGGCCTTTGCTAATTTTGTCTCTCAGCCCTTTCATTGGTTGGTGCTGATATATCCAGCCAAATAGAGCCCGCTTTCAAAATTGTTGGTAGAGAACGTCGCATCATTCTACTACAAGAACGAACATTCGGAATATGTACTATTCGAAATTTCTAGTATACCAAACCGAACGTGATATCTATTCTTGTTAACGTTCCCTAATTCGACGTAGTCCGGACGTATAGGAGAGAATGCAGTGATAGATGAAACTGAGGGCATGACTGATGAGCAAATTGAAGCAATGAAACGAGAGAGGGAAGCAAAAGCTGGCGCCCAGATCCTGGCGATGGTATGATATTCTACTTTTACTATGATGTATGTGTATGTAGTGGATCACTTGTATGTCTGATATCTATACATACGATATTTTCTGTATCGTCGCACCCTATATACTCGGCAGCCATTTCCAGAAAACATGACTGATTGTGTTCTATAGCGTGTGTGTATACTGGTTAATTGGCACCGACGATACTCAATCAATGCTGCTGATCATATATTCGATCTTCGAGGGACAATAGGGTTTAGGGGAAATCATTTTCGAGCGGTCTACCCAAGCCATTGTTGACCTACCTAATTGATACATAACATTTCGAAGCCGCGAAGGTGCGGCTTGATATGGAATAGATTTCCTTGCTCAAACATGTGCTTGTTGTGCTCGTCAGATTGGTGATATGCCTGATGAAGACGTGAAACCGCCTGACAACGTACTTTTCGTTTGTAAACTCAACCCTGTCACCACTGACGAGGATCTTGAGTTGATCTTCAGTCGCTTCGGCACGATTGTCAGCAACGAAATAATCCGAGACAGGAAGACCGGAGATTCTTTGGTAAGTGGTAAGTGTTCTGCAAATCTGTCGGTATACTCGCAAGGAATTAGTATGCATTGTAGTATACTCCGATTTTTCTCATCGCTTAAGGATTACCCTAACTTTCTATCTCGGAAATATGCATGATGGTGTATCGGAACTGTTTCCAAAATATAATAGCCAGTAAACAGATGGGCCTAGGATGTGACTGTTTTGTAGTAAATTCTCAATGTGGGTTTCAACTGCACTACGCACCGCGAGTCGATTGCATATAAACTATCGGTGAGTTGTTAACGTGTATGGGATCAGATCCTGACTCTCTACTCCCGCATAGTATTGTTGATGCAGCGAAGCTGTGATTGGTGTGTTTTGTGTTGTTTCGTGTTCTTTTACCGGAGCATGTCTAATTCCTGTCCATCTGCTATTTCCAATGCATTATGGCCAAATTGCTCGCGCTTTCAGGGATATGCCTTCGTAGAGTTCGAAGAGAGGGAACAGTGTGAAGCAGCATACTTGAAAATGGAGAACGTACTCATCGATGACCGCCGCATTCATGTGGATTTCAGTCAGAGTGTTTCTAAATTATGGCGTCAAACGGCTACTAAGTCCATGCCCGCCGGTGCAGGCGGTGGCGTCAAGTACACCATCAAAAGCGATCAGAGACAGGATGGAAAACAATACGGTTATGTCTTTAACGATGACGATCTGCAAAGAACTGCGTATAACGAAAGTAGCCAGCGAGCTATCGAAAATCCAGAAATATCCGAGGCTAAGAAGGATAGGAATTCCAAGAGGACAGAAGAGAGCGCTGGAACTGCTCGGCACTCGGTGAAAGGAAGGGACCGCAGCAGGGATAGGGGCTCTGAGAATAAACGCAAAGATAACCGGAGAAGCAGAAGCAGGAGTACAAGCCGGGGTAGGGGTATGGCAAACAGAGAGAGCCGCGGAGGACATGATCGGAAGGGGAGGTCCGCAATTGTTGTGCGTGCGAGAAGTAGTGATATGGGTACGCATCGAGATAAGGACAGAGACAGAGCACGGGGAAGAGATCGCCGAGATAGCAAAGATCGCGGCAGACATAGGGACACCAGGGGACGCGAGACAGAGTCAGAAAGAAACAACAGAAGTGACAGGAAACGAAATGGACAGCTAGAGACGAGGGGGAAAGGGGGTAGACGTACTAAGCGGGATACAGATAGGCCAAGATAGAAACAGATTAACTATCAAAGAATCCAGGATATATTTTCGAGATGTGCTTCCTTTCGAACTGGCTCATCCTTGGATTTAATAAAGGCTGCTATACAGTTAGTTTTTGTCGTGGTTGCGGGTGCCTTCAATGTTGCTTGAGAACTCATCTGGAATCACGGTGCAGGTATTAACATTCTTCTATTGAGGTTACGCCTTCTGAATACATAGGTGCGTACCAGATCATTTCCCGCTGCATACTCCATTTGAGAGCATGTTTGTCTCGGTATCGTTGAGCAAAAGCAATTTATTGGTATGCCACAGCAACTTTTTAAAAACAATTGTATATACAAAAGCTAAAGCTGCAAGCTCTTCGTGAAGTGCACCCGCATGTGTAGGTCCACCTTAAGTGCGGAGCACGGCACAGCAGAACTACTTTTTTTTAGAATTTAAAGCCCCAGAACTACTCGAACGACAAGTAAGCATCTTGGACCTTGCTTATAAATTCGTGAAGTACTTCATGGCTTACCAACACTTGAGTCGCCTTCAGGCGCAGGGTGCAGGGTGCCTATTTTTTTCTTCCTTCTGCCTTTATAAAAGGCTGTCAGGACGGGGTTGGTATAATATAGTGACGAGACTACAATACAAAGCTCTACCTGCTGTCAGAGACGACAAGCGATCTACACCTAGCTGGCGAAACATCGTTCTCGTCCTCTGTGCGTCTGCAAGACGTTCCCACCTCACAGCCAGAATTGTGATTACTGAAATCAACCATAACTGCATCTGTCTCGTCCGATGCGCTGCAAGTCTCTCCTTCGTGTATTGTTTCCTGGCACCCATAATTCTGGATGATGACCTCGCACTGTTCACCCTGGTAAAGGTAGCCATAAAACTGCCCCTCTGTATTACACGTATACCTAAGTTTGAATAATGCCCGTAGAGCCATGCCTTCGCCCTCGTTAGCACCACAGCCGATAAAATTATATTGGGTCTCGCCGTCAACAAATAATCGACATGAATTCTTCTCACTATCTTGACTTTTAAATCTATAGGCAATTCCCATACAATCTTCTCTACCATTACACTGTTCTGAGCAAGCACTGACGTATGCACTGGCAGTTGCGTAGGCATTCGAACCGTGCAGGTCACTTACAGGGAAAGAATTGTCGTAATCGTACGTCGTTAAAGTGAGTACGCTAGGGTGCGGCAACGTATAGCCCGAGACTTGCCCAGTTCCTGCGGTGTTTGTTACTCTATTCGGACTATTAATTTGTAAAATAATATTGTCGGAGTCTGCATTTTTAACACAGTGACTGGAGACGATATCCTCTGTGATTCCGCACGTTAAATCAGGTCCACAGCCTCCATTGTGGTACGTGAAATCGGTATATAGTGCGCAAATGTCGCCTTCCACCAGTCGTGGTCGACAAGTTAAAGAGTCAATCACTTCGTGATTATCGAGATACAAAGACAGGCCAAAGTATTGGTCGTTTGGTCCGCAAAATCTCGCGGGATCTTCGATAAAGACCTGTAAAGCCTCCTTTTCTGTTTCATCCCATAATTCCAATTCCCGCAGTACTTCGACGCTACCCACCATCATACAATTGTTTAACTGTGAGTTCTCATACGAATAAGAAAAGGCAACACCCAGACAACCTCCAAATTGTTGACATGCCTTCCCGCACGCGGCAGCGTACCCATCAATTCTGTCATAACTATCACTGCTTTGCAAGAAGCCAACATTGGCGAATTGTGTGTCCGCAGTTGTATAGGTCCAGGCCGACAAGCGCTGATATCCGCTCACATTTAGGTACTCAGCAGTAGTAGTACGATTTGTTTCCTCCCTCCTACTTTGTTTTGCACTGACATTGGTAACTACGAGTGTCAATATAATTAGCGCTTGAAATCCCTGCATTATATTTTTACGTAGTGATGGAATAGCGCCATAGCACAGCGAAGCTAATAATTTAAATAATAAATACACAACTTAGTTAACTACGTATTCAGCTCCTGGACTAATTGTGCAACCCTGAAATGATATTTAGTGGGCAGGAAGCAGTTGTTGTGGTGAGGTCAGTGGTGCCTTGAATTTTTTTTTAAATGTGTACGCTATGTATTTTTTAGAATATATGTAACACAGCTACGTACTGATATTAAAGTGTATACACACTTATTTTTTAAACACAGTGAACAGTATTGTTTGTTTTAAAAAATGATATTCCTACATATCTATTTGACAAAATCATCTCTAGAGAGAGAGCTATGACACGGATAAATATATGAATTGTTAAAAAAACGAGAGCAGAATATTTATAGAAATTTATAATATACGACATAGATAAGCTGACTCATAGTTCATAATAGTTTGCACCGTTTGATTCGTTCCAAAGGGATGATCATAAATTAAACAGATATGGTACACTGTGCTTCTCCTCCAGACAGGGTTGAGTGCCATCAGTACACTTGGCTTCAGTCGCTCGAAAGGGATGGATCCTGATACAATAATGGCTTCTTGCAGACCCAGTACCTTGTTAAGCGTCTACATGAACAACTGTACTTCCAATAATATGGGGTTGCAAGCTTGCTTGTTCTCGTACAGGTTCGGACAGTATACAGAATAAAAGAGTTTATAAGGTTTTATATTTGTTGATAATTGCACTGCACCGCTACTAGCTGGTGGGAGAATAATCTCTACTTACGGTCTGCTCTTTGGAGGAATCCACAGAATGCAGCGATTCCCTAGCCTGTCGATCTTTGATGATGTTCCGGTAACTGGCCCGTTGTTGGATCAAAGGAGCCATTATGATGACCGCAACAAGAACAACTGCATGAATTGACAGATGAAATATGTGAGACCAGATTGCACTGCAAAGAACAAACAGATTCCTAAATTTCAAAAGTAGAGTAGAAATGGGTTTAAATTGAGATTTAAGCGAGCTAAATACCTGCGAAGATGCCACCGCCAACAATGAACGGCCAGCTGTCATCGACAATATCTGCTTCCCGTCTCTGCAATTCGGTTAAGGCCGCATTTTCTCGAATGTCGCCGCCACTTGCGACTCTAAATATAGTGAGTACATTCATCCCTGCTGCAGCTTTAGTCCACACCACAACCACCGCTGGACAATGTCCGGAATGGATCGTCTCGGTTCCCCCAGGCTGCTGATTGCGTGACATCTTCGATACCTTCTGATTCAGTCAAGTTTCCGTCGCTACTATAAAGTCCTAATTTAAAAAAGACATCATCTTCCACCCATCCTACTAAGAATTTAACAGTATTTGTTGCTGGTTCAATAAATCTGGCAATGCCCGCATCCGACTCTTGTATATCGGTAGTGTTGGTCAACCATACAACCGGACCATCAATATTTCTTGTGTTATCGATACTGACAAACTCGATGTCCTGATTGCCCGTCACGTAACCAGTTTGGCCAAAAGGAGCTTCTGCTTGGTGTGAGTTAAATACCATCCTCCAATATTGTCCATCCGGCGCTACACCTCCCAATTCTGCTCCTACATTCCCGCTGCACTCGCCAGCAACGTCTATCACCCTGTTTTCCTTGTTGATATATATTCCGCCTATAGCTTTGGAGCTAAAATTGCTTCCCTGTGTACCAGGGTAGCAATCCGTGACACATACCGGCAAAAATGCTTCGCTGACGGTCAGGCTCGGGTTATAATTTAGCAGAATGGACATTGAGCGAGAACACCCGAAGTTCAAATCTCCGCTTTCGGTGTTTGCTATCTGTGACCCATTGGTTGAATGTAAGTATATGTAGGCATCACTATCAACACCCTCGAATGTTTGAACATGGAAGCTGGCTGCATACTTTCCGTCGCCGTACGTCATCCTGGAGTCCCCAACAATGAATGTATTAGGCATGGAATTCGGTATATTTATCAATGAATTCCACACAACGCCACCAGTGGAGCTGACGAGCCTAGTGTATATTGCGCCGTCGACTCTAATTGAATTGATCTGCTCACTGTAATTCTCGTCCCAAAGCAATACAGGGTAACTGCCATCGTCATGAGCTACGAGACCGCGGACCTGCGTGTTTATAAACATCGTGCATGGTCGTCAGTAAGTGCACAAACATGGCTGAAAAATCGATGACACGGCGCAAGTTTACAAACAGCATTCAATCAGCATCGACTTATGTCCATCAACTTATGTGAGAAAGTAAGACGAAATCTTCGGATGATATCGCCAGACGAAGAATCTATAGAAACGTATGCAACATTGTTACTGCCTGACCATCCGACCAGAACGTTGTCCCCGGCAATCGGCTCGGTGTACACTCGAGCTGCATTAAACCTATCCGAGCCGAAGATTCTGTAGCTATCCCCACCCGACTTCATCGCCGCTGGGAGGTTGATTGTATTCATCGATATGGCATTGTTAATCGAAAATGCCGATGCATTGTGGCGTACACATACCACAATATACATCAAAATTGTACATGCATACATATTGAAAACATGCGAAGTGCACAATTCTCAGCACTTGTCTTCTCATTTATACGCCGCTGCAAGAATCGTCTGGATCTAGTTGCATGTGTACCTGGCTACCCTGCATACTTCTTGAAATAAAAAAATAGTTTATTTCCACGGCTGAAACGATCGGTCGTTGTACGCCCGGCCCCCTCCCCCCATTGTATTCCGGTTCCATGCACTTCCCTTTAGTTTTAAATTGTTAGTGTACTTAGTATATGTTTAAATTTCGCGCCATCACACAGTTATTTATTCGTATTAGTGTATTATTTTAAAGCCGTATTATAAATGTATGATTCATGAACTCCAGGTATCCTAATAACCCTGTTCCCATCTCTCTTAACGCGTAAAATCAGTGTTTCTATTCAGTGTTTCTATAAAAGATATTGTGGGGTTTGTCATCAACTTTTCATATCACCAGTCCCGGGCCAAATAGTGACGAGTCGTCACAATTACGAAAATTTGCACTGAAAAATCTCAAATTGATAATAAAAACATTTTGATTCAACTCTGGTACAAAATCTCTGGCACCGTCTCTATAGTGACAAGTCGTCACCTTCTTGAGCAAGTGGTTCTTGATTCTCATTGGTTAATAGTGTCACATTTCAGCTTTTTTTCCTTCTGATTTTAGGAATTTCTGTCCAAAAAGTAATAAAATTACACCTGATTACTATTTTAAAGCCAAACTAAAACGGCCATTTTTTTTCAACCTTTTATTTGTGTAATTTTCAGAAGGCTATGTTTTGTTTCTTTTCTTTTTTTAACTTTCTATAAAACAGCTATATGCATTTACTTATCTATTCCATATCATTGTACTGCTTCAAGCTGCCGATGTACCCTGGCTCGTGGAATAGCTCAAAGCATGTCGTGCGTTTACCCACCATGGCTCACATGCATAGAACTTGACAATGCGTGTACGTCTGTGCAGTGTGACTTCTGCGCCCCCATACAATATATCTTCTATAAGCATCTCGAGATACTATTCCTTTCATCCTGGAAGCTACTGCATTCAGTAGCAGTACTTGTGGGCGACTATAAGGCCATAGAGGTATTTACGATTGTATCTCCCATACCTGGATAGTCGTCGACATGGAAGCGCTCAAGATATTTATGTGAGCTGTCTGCGCTAGTCCTTATCAGCGGAAACCCCTTTAACATCGTGCTATGGACGATAATTAGGCCACCAATCCCTATATTTGACAAGAGGTTAACTTACGCACGTTAGAAATAGTGACGACTCGTCCCCATTTAAAAAAGAATATTTCCAGATTTTTTAAAGGTGATGACTCGTCACCGTTGGTGGGTTTGGTATTTGTTTTTTTGGTTGTTTATTTTGTTAAAACAAAACAAACCCCAAAAAAAAGAATAACTATTTTACTCCCTGAAGAAGAGAGCATTGATATTTTATTTGTTAAAATAAATATTGCATCCGATTTCATCAACTTTTTTTTCCACGGATGAGTGTTGACAGCAATATTGGAAGTATTTACATATTGTTAACCGTTCTTTTCGGTCAAGTGTCTCTAACTCTCTACCTCTCCTATTTTACTCTGTTCGTGTTTGCAGAAACGAGCTTTTCTGAACCCCTTTCCATTTGACTAGATTCATTTCTTCCACTCAGCATATACGTCTAGACAATAGATTCTACTTTGAAGTTTGACAGCACTGCCACTTTTGGTGTTGGACATGGTTATGCTGTCGTACTCGATATATATATTTTGTCTTCTATAGAAAGGCATTTCTCCAACTGTTGGACAGAGCTCGATGTCCTAATGGTTGATTACTATCTATGGCACGCATGATACGGCTCCTTGACGCTATCGAGACTGCTGAATCTGACTACATCAATACGTAACTACTCCCCGTTTCGCAAATAATTGTCCTATTAGAGCAGTTTTGACATATGGACGGTGTGTTTGAGCAAGGTATCTCTAATGAATGCAGCCCATGCTAACTTTGAGAATAAATCCATATATCCAGATTCTACTGCCCCATATCTGGCTTGTGCTGTCTTCAGTCCACCCAACAGTACTGATCTGCTACTTCTTTTCTCATTGCAATTGAGTTTTGGCATCTATTATATTGTGATTATCTAACTCGAGAAGTGCCGTTTATCAGCCCTTTTAGTGGGTATCAGATCCCGACATACACTCGATTCTGAACCCGAACATTTTGCCGACCATTTGTAGCGTTAGACTATGTTTTGGTTGCAAATTCACCTGCTTTCAGAAACAGTAGTGCACTCGCTGAAAGTTCATGTTTCAAATCACGACAAACGTAGGGGGTCAACAATAATGATGGTGAGCGGTACTCTGATCATTCTACGCTGCAGATATATGCATACTTCCCAAGGCATGAAAACATACAAAGCAATGGTCCAAACCATCAAATACACTGTTTCCCTCAAACGCATGCCTACAATGATTCCCTTCGGATCCACATCACCTCCCTTCGACTGTATACTCAGCATGTCACCGGTTCGTCGCGATATACGTGCGTTCTGTTGCAAAGATATACATACTTTTCAAGGCATAGAAACATCCAAAGCCATGGTCCAAACCATCAAATACACTGTTTCCCTCGAACGCATGCCGACAATGATTCCTTTCGGATCCACATCGCCTCCCTTCAGCTGTATATTCAGCATATCACCCGTCCGTCCCGATATTCGTGCGTGCTGTCGCGGGACCGAGCATTGATATGTCAAACTCCTGAAATCAGCTTGGCGCTTTCTGGACGATGAAGAAATATTTCAAGATTAGCCTCGCCGAATTTCGTATCACTGCTAAGCTGCTACACTCTAAAGCACATTAAAAGCAAGCGTGTTGTAAGCTATTTGCACACGAATACATTTACCTTTTGGTTTTAGTTTGACCGCTCTCTTTGTTTTTGTTCTTCTCTTTCGCTAGCAATAGGATGTCATTGAACAAGAACAAACGTCCCGTCCGCCTTTCACCATTAAGTGTCATGGAAACTGGCGAGTCCAGCAACCATCTACGACAGCCTAAGTCGGACAACTGGATGTTCGGATTTAACTTTTTCATTTTCCGATACAGGCTTTGTAGCGCAGGCTGACTTTCTCGTACATTATAGCAGGCATTGATGTACTTTAGCAGCTGTAAAGAAAAAACAATTTGGATTTGCAACTACTTACAATTAAATTATTCAGTAGTGAGTCGGTATGCAAGAGCTATGTTCGAGAGCGCTCACAATGAATGAAACAAAATCGAAGCTGACCGTAAGCAGAAGGCAATCCAGCATATCTTCGCCCTTTAATATGTGCGCCGTGCACCTATTCAGAACTCTTTGCCGATTTCAAGTCCAATGAGATATTAATACAAACTTAGACTATGTATATATAGAATCGCAAATTAGGGCGGCAATTAAAACTTTTGAAATTCGGTGATCATGTACTACACTAACTTATTACATGTAGAAAAGAATAGCTCAAAATATCTGACCACGATACACGCAAATTGTATCATAAACTGTATATCAGCAGCACTGCACTAATTTAATAACGCAGGAGATAGCTGGGCATATATGTTTGCGTTTCTAAGCATCTAGTATGAACATGCAGGTTTCTGATTGCAAGTGTTCGCGTGGGACGATGGAATACGATTGAATGTGCAATAGTTGGAGAACTCCGATCGAAATTGACGGCAGATAATGCAAGGTATACATACATACATTTTTATAAATGTATAGGTAGCTTGGCCGGAATAACACTATACTTTGCCTAAATTGGAAGCTAGTGTGGAAATGTACTACGCATAAAATCATGCTTGCACGTACACAAACAAAAATGCAGAGGAAAATATCTTATAAAATATACCAGGTGATATGTTGTACGGATCAAGAATTATGTGTAGTACGATAAATTACTGTTACCCGATTATTGTATATCACTTTTGTGCTGTATATAAACAACATACCCTTTCAATATGAACAAGGGACAGGTGTAGAGCGGCGTGCTCTTCGGAGTGCCTGGGAGTGACTGATAACAGTGCCTAAACGTCCAATAAAAGATAAATATGGGTTTTTTTTTAGATGATCAAGCGACGTGTTGGATCTTTCACATTAAACGTTGGCGTCGCGCTGGTGCACGAGACTCTATGGTTCGTTAGCTTTGTGAGAAAAATCAAGGTACCGCCTGCAATCCTTGCATGTACACGAAGTGTCAAAACAAGTATAATTATGTCACGATACCTGTAGTAAGAGCACATATCTGGGCAGACGCTGGATTGGGGTGAGCAAAAATGATGCGAGGCCTAAATTTTGTTCCATTTCTTTGTCCGTATCCGCCAGTATGGCTGCGAAATCCTCGCTATCTCTGACGTGCTGTTGAAGGGCCACTATCGATCGTTGCAGATCCGCTATGTAGTAGACGTATGACTTCAAGAACTCTGCCTCATCGTTGAAGGGACGAAGCAAAGATATGATGAGTAAAAGCAAGATAGAATCTACTGTAGCGGGGTATAGTAAAGATGCAGCGGTGAGTGAGCTGAACCACACCGTGCTGCATTCGAGAAGCGAAAAATTGCTCAGCACATCGGGTAACACAAAAGAACAAACTTCGATTCGAACTGGTAATGCTTCTACATGTGTACACTACATGTTAAAACATTTGTGGCAAATTACGAAACCATACTTACCAGAAGCGTCCGAACGAAACACATCACCGATCAAGCTGACTGGCTGTCCATCATCGACAGTAGCACATGTTTCAAAGGCTCGCAAAAGCCTGGTGTGGCCAGCGATTAGATGATCTATACATTCGGGTATTATAATATCCATTAACTCCTCGGCTAAAACATTGGTCGCACGAATGGCCACGTTGTACTCCTTGATAATCAGCAGCTGCTTTAAATACTTCGTTTCAGTCGAAATTACTTCGTCCAACACCATTCGGCGCTGTAGTGAGAAAAATTCCGAAATTAGCTGATAATATGCATGTAGGGGTCAACCACCTACTTGGTGGATGTAGGCTGTAGCCTATTGCCGATATTGGACTCATGAGTTTTCAGGCTACACCTACATTTCTAACAGTCGAATTGAAATGAAGTGCTAAGCCTTGCGTGAACCACAGACCGCCAGACTGGTCTATATAGAATAACAGCAACTCAATCAATATACTTGAACGAATTCTATAAAAGCAAGCTGGCATAGAATAAGAGTTCACTATTATCTTCAGTGCTCTTGCATCGTGGCGTAGTATACAACAAGTACAGCTTGTATGAATGTCCATTCTGAAGCTCTAATAACACACCTCGGTTTCAACTATGTCGTCAAATTCGTTGATTGGAAGAAGTTCGTCAGCAGTGGTCTCCCTCTGTGCTGTGGGCATGGAACACACCATACACGGAATTCTTTTTTTACGAATACCGCCCACATTACCCTTCCCCTCTGAGTTTATGGTCCTCGATGTTGGTTGCAGCTCATGCGTGTTCTTCTCAACTATCGAACAACATTTTCGAGCTGGAATACATTTTCGAGGGAAAGGTTCTATTACTAGTTCGGACGCCGACTCTTCAGGCTGCATTGTGTAGCTCTTTGTCGTATTTTCATTCAAGGCCACGCTTGCTGCCAAAATTTGTGTCTTCGCCGCTGGGTCACCGGACGTATGGGGAGAAGTGTTCACTTGCGTTTCACAGGAAGGGACACTGCCAGATCGCGGACTTCGAGATTTGCTGTACTGTATATTATCTGTAGCATTAGTGATTACTTTGGACGAATGATGAAAAATTACTTCAACGTCTTTCAAATCCCCTTCACTCCGCGAAATTTGTCGTCTCCCGAGGTGTCGATGCCTTTGTGGCGGAACGACATCGTGAGGCAGACCAAAAGCTAACTTGTCAGAACCAACGACGGTGACTTGACGAGTACAATTTGCATTATCAGGCGGTTCTGAAGGACACTTATTGATGCTTGATAATTGTGAGTACGGCTGTAATGGGCAGTTCGATGCTAGTAATCGATTTGAGCAATCCATTGAGGAAATTGTAGGCCTCGAATCCGAGATAGTCAACCTGTCTGCAAGATTTCTAGTATACTCAAGACCTAAACAACTCATTGAATTCTCCAACAAATCGACTTGTTTATCCTGAATTATCGTTGATCCTATCGACGTTTCCCTAACTGCCGACTGTAACCTCCCCTGCAAGTAAGCCGTCGTTTGTTTTGGTACTATAAAAGCGTTGCTGTCGTACTGTTGTGATTGTTTGTATTTAAACGCTGCTGCAGGCTGTGGAAAAGACATAGAGCTGAATGTTATATTAGCCAGCAAGCTGTAGGAATCGTCGCCATTGTGTACATCTGTAGGGTTTCCGAAGAGTAATCTATTGATGTGAGAATCTCGTGGGCACTGGTCTGATTGCTTTTGATGCATACTCGTTTTTTTCCTCGCTTTAACACTGCGCTTGGTATACATTACAGGCTGCACAAAGTTCGCTCGTCTTTCATTGTCAATTGCGGTAGCTACATTACTAATATAGTGATCAGTGTATGACTTCGACCCCTGATCGGTGGATATGGATTTGGCCTGCAAGTCTGCACTATTGCCTACTGTAAACTTCTCAACACCTTGGCTTGTAGTGCACTCGTGCACGTTGATAGTTGAGCTTGCTGTCGGACAGCTGATCGGTGGCGCACATTTTTTGTCGTCTTTTTCTTTCTGAGTGTTGGATACCTTCTCGCATTGTAAATTTGTCACCCCGGAGACTGCAAGTTGGACTTGTGCTGGATTTCTTAGTGTATTAACTTCCGGTAGTGTCTCTACAGTTTTGTGATGTCTTCGACGTCGAAACATGTTTAAGCCAGCACAGTTTTCTGTATAAAATATGACATGAACGCTGACCATATAGCATACACGAATTTCAATCACATAGATGAACCACAAAACATACAAAACATACATTATATTCATATTTTATTAACGTTCATCAAATAATCCGCGTATGTATACATTGTATAGATCTTCGTTGCTATGAATACACTAAGGCTATCCTGCCCCTCTAAGGCTATCCTGCCCCTCTAGGGTTTTGGGTTCCGGTTTTGAAATCGAGGTGGTGAATCACAGACTCACAATCACAGAATTGGTGCACAGTGCACACAATATAACCGGGATCTTAGTAGAATATGTAAATACCCTACTTCGCCAGTTGTACTTCGATGGTAAGTACCACACACACATAGGGGAATACCAAATGTGAGCGGTATACCCATGAAATCCAAAATGAATTAAATTACTTTAAATCGTTAAAAGCGGGATTTAGTTAGCTTTGTGGCCGCCTATGCTGGCATTTGTTACTTTGTATGGCCCTTCGGGCTATACTCATGTTTGCAAAATGAAGCCCTACGGGCTTCTTTTTGCTGTGGTCATCCCGTGCCATGACACACAGTCACACACTGATACAAAGGTAAACGAGAGAGATCTGCAAATTTATTCCAGCCGGTTCTTTCGAATAACTACGGAATTTTCAGTCACTTCGTCCTTATACGAAATCTTATTCCAGAAAATACATGAAAATGTACTTTAGACTTAGCATAACTACTTGCTTATTCAGACCATATATATAAAAGGTTATACCGAAACAAGGAGATAGCGATGGGCGTAGAGCTCGTATATCCCGCGATTCCAGAAGAGGAAAGGATGTAGATTCATGCACAGTGTCGATTCATAATAGTACAACCGATACTGCGTATTTCAAATACCCCCATCAATCAACCTCTCGAGTCGTTCGCCGACATCCTCGTCCAACTGGCGGTCCTACATGAAAAGACCTAACTTTATACATTGTAGGCTGTGGCATTGCAGAAAAATGGACAGGTGAGTAGTCTCGTTCTTTTTCGTATTGCCTTGCATTTACAGACGTCACTCCTGTGTATCTCCAAGCATCTTAATTATCTGTGCGTGCGCTCACGCACACTATGTTAAGTGCATGTTTGTGGAAAATTGCACGTGAAAGGATAGGAGTTCTTACGCGTTCAAGCATGTTGAAGTATTTAGACATTTATATGTGTATGATTGCATGAATTTCTTTATATATATATATATATGTGTGTGTGTCACTCACTCACTCACTCACTCACTCACTCACTCAGTGTGTGTGTGTGTGTGTGTAGTGTTACTATATATATATATATATATATATATATATATATATATATATATATATATATATATAGTTATAGTAGTGTA